TTAAGTGTGCTGAATTTTGTTGATAACCAACTTTTGAAACNTAAAGATCGAGACTTTTGGGAATCAACAAGCTTCTCAAGTCTTACTACTTTGAGGAGATCAACATGGATAAATTCTTTTTGGAGGACAAGAAGATTTGCCAACACGAGGACACTTTTCAAAGGCAAGATGGAAGCCATGCCAATCCAGAATGCCGTAAGCATCCATTGCATCAACCTCTCACGGCAACAAAGATGGCATTGTCATTCCTAGCCATTCATGGAGTCGCCCTCAACAAAATTGGTGATTTCTTTCCTTATCTCTTATTTTCACTTGTATATTTTTGTGCTCATATTTTTCCTATATCATCATATTTGCTTTATACTCTGACATGGTATGATCCACCCTAAAAAAGGGAGATGAAGGAAAGTCTAGCCAAAGACATTAAAGAAAGGCGCTGCTTGGGAGGCAACCCAAGAAGTTACTAACGTTGTAATTTTCTTTTAGTTTTTCTTTTTCTTTTTCTTATTAGGATTTCATATTAAGGGAGTAAGGCGAACGAATGAAAAGCCAAAGAGAGAAGCAAAAGATGGAAGCCAACGCACAAAAGGAGTCAACCAAAGGCTAACTTGACCGGCCATGACCGGCTATGCTCGAGCCGCACAAGCGTGCTAGGTCGGCTGTAGCCTGGCAACCCGTGCACGACAACTGACCAAAACCAGGCATGTCCGCGCCAAAGCCACTCATCTGCATGGCCAAGACCGGCCATTACCCGGCTATGACCCGGCCATTCACGCACAAGGCCCGGCCAAGACTAGCTAGCTCCGCACCATCCTGCGCGACGCAACCGGCTTCATCTGCTCCACTTGCGTGCCATGCTCGGTCACATCCGAGCCAAGGCCGACAAGTACACATCAACTCAGGCCTCATCCGCACAGCCGCGCCCCATGCCCGGTCAGTACCGGCCAGCATTGCTCCACCCACTCATATTGCCGGGCCAAGACCGGCCAATCCGAGTCATCTCAGGCTGTCACCGTGCCATCACTAGCCACATCCGAACTGCCATCGGTCATGCATGCATCAGCCCGTGCCACATAAATAGAGAAGCTTTCTTTAACTCTAACTTTTTCTTTTTCTTTGCATTGTTTTGCTTTGAGTGATTAGTGCTTTGATTGATTGCCTATTCCTTGATTTGAATTAGTTGCTTGAATTTCTTTTCTATGTTTTCTATGTTTTGATTTGGATCTTAATTATGACTCATATGCTATGAATGCTATGATTGATGCTTTGAATCTCTATTTGCTTGATTGGATGCATACTTTCTTTGTGAGTCAAGTCTTTTATTAGCACATTCATTTATTTTTTAAAACCACACTTATCACACATGCGCTTAAAATTCACACATAGAGGAAATTGTGTCTTTCAAGTGTGGGGGAGAGAGTCTAATAAAGAGTCTACATGCATATAATCCATGAAATTTTTCGAAAATTTTGCAAAAATTTTGAATTTTTCATATATATATTAAGTGATTAAATTAATTATGATTGATGAATGCTTAAAATTTTTAAGAATGTTTACTTCATTGATTGATTTATAGCATGATATCTTATTTCTTAGATTAGGTATAATTGGTCTGTGATAAAAGCTTATTGTTTATTGCTTCTATGATTACCTATTTCTAGAATTTGTGTTTAGTTTTTGTTGAAATTACACTTATGAAAGTATGTTATGGATATGCCAAGAACAAGTGTGGGGGACTACTTATATAAAAGGGTAGTTAAAATGTTTTCATAAAAAGAAGTGTTTTCATGCTAGAGGAGAAGAGGTATTTCTGCTATAAAAAAAATCAATCCATTGTTGTCACTCTTCTCTTTAACAAAAGGAGTTAGTATCCCTTGGGAAGAGGATAAGAGGCATGGACCAGCAGAAATATTGTCCCTCTAGAGTGCTAGTAGCCTTAAAATAAGAAAAAATAAAGGGTGTTAGTAACCCCTAATCATGAACGCTTCGAGGTTAGTAACCTCACTTTTCTAAAATCTAAATACCCTTTGAAAATCATTATAACCCATGCAAAACTCTTGATTTATATCTATGATATGCAGTCCTTTGAGTAATGGAGATAAAGATGAAGACATAGACTTATAGAAAGAAGTAGTTATAGTATGTGATGAATGATGAGTGATTAGAACTACTTTAATTATGGTTACTTAAGAATAAAGATGCTTGCTATTTCTTGATCTTTTGAATTGAGTGCTCTTATTGTTCTTTGTTATTCTGATTTCATGATTGAATTGATCCTTGATGTATGTATGCATTCAAAATTGATTTTTTTTTTCGAAAAGATTGGTTTTTAAAGCCTTTGAACCAATGTATGTATATAGTTTTTCACTAACCCATGAGTCTATCGAGTCTAGTCTTAAACATGTTTGTGGGTATCGTCCTAGTTAAGAAAACCCTCAGGTGACATAACACCTCCTGAGTACCTCTATCGGTCTCAGGTTTAAATGGCTTGTGTCACGTGCTAAGTGCCGCCGTACACTTACGAAAGTGGAATCTTTCTTTGCATTAGATTTAGTTTTTGTTTTTATAGTTTTATGTATTAGTTTGCTAGGGACTAGCAAAGGTTTAGTGTGGGGGAAATTATGATCGAGCCAAAATAGACCCTATTTTTATGATCATTTTCCTATGTTTTTTGCAATTGTTATGTGGAAATTAACCCTATTTTGCAAGTATTTGTGTTTTTAGGTCTTGAAGATAAGAAAAGTGGAAACTTGTTGTTTTTCACTCTTTTTGGAGCTATTTTGATGACTTTTTGCACAAATATGGACTTAGCAATTTGGAGTGAAGATTTGGAGATTCGAAGTTCGTCATTGAAGATTTATTGAAGATAATTTGAAGATTTGAAGATCGTTGAAGAATTATTTCAAGAAGCAAGAATTCAATATTTGGAGCTTAATTGCAAAGGGATGAAGACAAGTCCGGAAGAACCCCGGAAGTTAAGGAATTTTGAATATTTTATATGGGATTATATTCAGCCCATATAAGTCCATATAAGTCCATAATTGAAGTTAAAATCCCAATTAATGCCGATTGGACCCTCCAAAATATCCAAATCCCGTAATTTCCCGTAACTAGTCCTATTTGGAGTAGGAAATGGCGTAGTCTCGGTAGAAAGGCCATAACTTTCTGCTTAGATGTCCGTTTTAAGCCCATGAGTAGCCGTTGGAAAGCTAATTCCGAGACCTACAACTTTCCTTTGAAGTCCAAAGCCCAATTCTGCCTTTTCAAGCCCAAATCTGCCAGTGAAGTTTCTGTAGAAATCCAGAAAATTCCAGAATCCTATTTTGACTTGGATTCTACTCTAGGATGACATCTAATCCAACTTGGAGACTAAGTCAGCCCCTAGAACGTCCTAGCCTCTTTTCCTAAGTCTAATATGAGTCTTTAGGTTATTTTTCCTTTATAAATAGCCACCTTATGTAGCCTTAGATGATATAACATCTAGATACAATTTTCTCTTCATCTATTTTTCTTCTAGTTCTAGTTTTTCTTCTAGTTTTAGGTTGAGGGTGTCGACACCTCTCTTTGCATAGAGAGGTGCGACAACCCTCCTTGTTGAAGGCTAAGGAGATTCTGTCCAAAGGTCTTGTAAGTTTTCTTATGCCTCTCATGGATTTTCCCAAATCCATGAGTAACTAAATCCTTAATACTTCTTATCCTTTGGTGAATTTAATCAATTGATTATGGTGAGATTTTTGTGCTTATAATTTGATGTTTGTTCTTGATAAATAGTTTTTAAATCTCTGTTTTAATCTTATGATCTTGATGATTGTGGATTTAGACTACAACTAATGATAAGATTTGATAGATCTATAGCTAAATCAAGCCATTGAAGGATCGTTCAGGCTTGATTATTCGGTAGCAATTGGAGGCGAAGGATCTTCCTTCCAAGGGAATTAGGGATCAGTGGCCAAAGTAATTTGCTCATTGTTTGGTGTTACTTTAGTACGCATGCGTGAAAAAATATAATTGTTCTTAATGCTTTGTTCTTGGGTAATTGATAATTTTAATCCCCTGTTTTCTGTTTTAAAAGTAATTTTTAGAAAAGATTAGCTCTTAGGATAAAGTTTTCTACCCTTCTCTGTGGGATTCGACCCCTACTTGCCCTATCTACTTTAGTTAGGTTTTGTGGGGATTATTTTATGATTGCTGACGACACGATCAGTTTCTGTTAACTTTCCAACAGGTGGTCGTTTGACGAGGGAACAGAAAGCCAAAGGCATCGCTCGAGATGAAGAAGCAATGCCACCACCAAAAGAAAGAAGACCATCAATACCTGTGAGATATGGTTATATCAACAGAGCTGCACCGTCGAGACAACAAGTATCCCAGCCGATGGCTCCAAGGCCCGTAGCTCTAGGATCGATGCCGAGAAGAAAGTTATATCTGACTACAACTGAGGATATGCCGATGAAGGTTTCTAATCGATCGTTTGCTTGGAGGACGGTGCAGAGAAAGTTAGATTTTGCTGCAGAAGATGTTAAGCCGTCAATGATAATCACATCGGCAGTTCAAGGAACTTCTAAGCCGATGTTGACTAGATCCAAAATCACAGCATCGGCTCCCCATGTTCTTAAGCCGACGGTTCAATTTCCAACTAGGTCAAGAAGTGAGATAAGGCCTTGGTTGGAAAGGAGGAAGAAAGAGATAAGAACAATGGCGATTCAAAATGAAGTCAAGATCCGAAGAGATCATGCGATGGAATCCAATCGGCCTAAGATGGTAAGGCCGACTGTCAGAGCTCCAGTTGGTGTTTGGCAGAAAGTTGAGCATCCTAAGTTTCCAACTCCACCAATAGAGAGAAACAAGAAGACGTGGAGGAGGCGAGAGTTCATGAGAAGGGCTAAAGCTAGAAAGGAGTTACAGGATGCTGCGATGGAGGAAGAAGTGACGGCCTTGGTAACTAGCTTAGAGAAATGTCATTTCAAGAAGGATGCTGATGAAGAGGCTATCTTAAAAGGCATGTTCAAAGTTACGCTGATATGACTTTTGAGTACTTGGTTGGATGAGGTTTAGAACCTTAGAGAGCCAAGCTTTTACTTGAACAAGCAAGATTGGACCAGAGGATAGCTGTTGAACAGGCCAAGCTGGATAAAAGGGAAGCTCTTATAAGGGAGAAGGAAGCAAGTCTAAATGAGAAGATTGCTCTGTTGCAAAAGAAAGAAGCTGATGGTCAAGACAAGACCAATAATGAAAGTCCACTTTACTCTTGTGGGAGTAAAAATAAAGGTGAAGAGAGTGAGAATGATACCTTGCAAGCTAATGATTTCTTAGAAGGTTCCGTCAATTCGATAACCTTCGGACAATTTACCGTAACCTACACTGCAATGTCCTCACATTGCCATGTACATTTGCTGCAAGAGTTGATGGTTTGGAACCAAGTGTTGATAAAAGTTGGTCAGATGAACCACTCCCAGTTGGGAACGTTGAAGAAATTATTCATCTACCTCAGAAGGATGATGAAGACTCGGGGGGCAAGGTTGAACAACCTAAAGACAATGTCTTCATAAAACCTGATCAACGTGTGACATATCACATCAAACCTCTATATATCAAGGTTCATCTTGATGGTGTACCGATGAATAGAGTTTTAGTTGACAATGGAGCTACCGTTAACCTTTTGCCTTATGCATCATTGAAGAGGTTGGGAAGAGGTGATGATGATTTAATTGAATCTAATGTAACTGTTAGTGACTTTTCAGGTGCTATCACTGAGACAAGAGGCATTTTTGCTACAAACCTAACGGTGGGAAGTAGAACGACTATATCAGCTTTCTTTGTTGTTGATTCATCATCAAGTTATAATGCCTTATTGGGACGAGATTGGATCCACTCTAACTGGTGTGTACCATCGTCTTTACACCAACTTCTGAGCTTTTGGAACGGAAATGAGCTGGAAGTTGTGCATGCTGATAGACGACCATTTAAGGTGGAGTCTAATGTTGTGGAGGTTAGATATTATGGCGAAACGATTGGCACCACCAGATTTCTTGGTCAAGACAAGTATGGACGTCCAATTCCAATGCCGATGGTGTCAACATCCCAAGATTTGAAAGATGGTTTGAAAAGAGCCATGGAAGACCTTGTCCGGCCTAGTGCAATTATATCGTACAGGCCGCTTGGTAAATCTCCCATCATTGAAGAAATTCCATGATGAGTCAAGATGACAAAAGGAGAGAAAAAGTAGACGACACTTTGAGAAAGTTGTAGGCGTATGGTTTACAACAGCGCATTCAATCTTTAGAGGAAAAAGCCTCCCTAATAGCAAATGCGGCTCATAAAGGAAATGAAATCACTATGGAAGAGTTGGATCATGCTCCAATGAAGTTAGACGATCTGAAGGTCGAGGTACAAGATTCGCTGCTAGAGATTGATCTTGGTACAGATGGTCAACATCGGCCTACTTACATAAGCCAATGTTTGTGCGATGAAGATAAAATACGCATGGTCGCTTTGTTGAAAGAGTACAAAGATTGCTTTGCGTGGGACTATCCAGAGATGCTGGGATTGAGCAGAGACTTGGTGGAACATCGACTTCCTATAATTCCAGGATACCGTCCGTATCAACAACCACCTAGGAGGATGGCCAACGATGTGTGTTGAAGGTGAAGGAAGAAATCGAGAGATTACTCAAGGCGGGATTTATTCGCACAACACGTTATGCAAAATGGATATCGAATGTTGTCCCTGTGGTAAAGAAAACTGGCAAGATCGGGGTGTGCGTCGACTTTCGCAACTTGAATTTAGCCACCGCCAAGGACGAATATCCTATGCCAGTTGTTGATTTACTTGTGGATAGAACAACTCAACACAAAATTTTATCTTTCATGGATGGACACAGCGGCTACAACCAAATTTATATCGCAGAGGAGGACGTTCAAAAGACCGCATTCCGTTGCCCTGGAGTGATTGGGACATTCGAGTGGGTTGTGATGTCGTTTGGACTTAAGAACGCTGGAGCAACTTACCAAAGAGCCATGAATGCCATTTTCCATGATATGATCGGCAAGTTCATGGAAGTGTATATCAATGATGTAGTGGTTAAGTCACATAATAGCTTAGACCACATCGATCATCTGAAGCAATCTTTTGACAGAATGAGAAGACACGATCTGAAGATGAATCCACTCAAGTGTGCTTTTGGTGTGACTGCAGGGAATTTCTTAGGTTTCCTAGTTCACCAACGGGGGATTGAAGTTGATCAAAACAAAACAAGGGCGATCATGCAAGCTCAACCTCCCGCCAATAAGAAGGAGTTACAACGTTTTCTTGGTCAAGTTAACTTCTTAAGAAGATTTATCTCAAATACCGCTGGTAAAACTAAAGCATTTTCACCACTATTGAGATTGAATAAGGAAGAAGATTTCATCTGGACCAAAGAACATCAAGACGCATTTGAGGCGATTAAAAATTATCTTGCAAAGCCTCCCGTCTTAGTTCCCCCTTGGAAAGATAAACCATTGTATTTGTATGTATCGGCCACAACATCTTCAATTGGGTGTTTGTTGGCCCAGGAAGTAGAAAGAGGGAAGGAACATGCAGTTTATTATCTTAGTCGAGCTCTTACTAATGTTGAAACTAGATATAGCTCGATAGAGAAACTTTGTTTATCCTTATACTTTGCTACAATAAAATTACGCAATTATATGCTCTATTTTAGCGTGTGTATAATTGCCAAGACTGATATTGTCAAATATATGTTAACTCGGCCAATTCTAAGAGGCCGACTTGGTAAATGGTGTTTGGCTTTGTCTGAGTTTGGTTTCAGGTACATTCCTCAACAAGTAGTAAAAGGTCAAGCGGTTGATGATTTCCTAGCTGATCATCCTTGCTTGGATTTGGGGAAAGATTTTGAAGATGCCGCGGAAGTCTTGGAAATTGCCTTGGTGCCGTGGGTGTTGGAATTTGATGGATCAAGTACTTCAGAATCAGCAGGAGTAGGTATTATCATATCTTCTCCACAAGGTACCTGGATGATGATGGCGTTCCATTTGGACTTTGAATGCATGAACAATCAAGCTAAGTATGAGGCGCTCATTATTGGCCTTGAAATGCTTAGGGAGATGAAGGCATCATCAGTTCAAATAAAAGGAGATTCTTTGTTGGTGGTGAATCATCTAACTGGAGAATTTAAGTGCACAAGTCCAACCTTATTGCCTTATTTCGCTCTAGCTACTCAATTGTTGGAGGAATTTGACAATGTTAGTGTTGAGCATGTGCCAAGACATATGAATGAAGGAGCGAATGTTGCTGCTCAATTAGCATCAGGGATTACCTTCCGAGATGAAATTATGAGGAAAGTAGTTAACGTCGTAAAGAAGAAGTATGCCATCAATTTTTGGGAGAGAAAACATTTTCGATGTTTTCAATGTCAACACCAGGACGGTAACAACAGATTGGCGTGATCCATTCATTCAATATCTTAAAGATCCCACTCAACCCGCTAGTAGGAGAACAAGGTCGTTGGCAATACATTATACGGTATTGGCCGACGAGTTGTATAGAAAAGGTGTCGATGGTGTCTTCTTGAGATGTCTTGACGGAGAGGAAGCTAAAGCCGTGGTTAAAGATGTACATGAAGGGCTTTGTGGCGCTCATCAAGCAGGAAGAAAGATGCGTTGGCTCATACGACGACATGGCTTTTATTGGCCATCCGTTATGAAAGATTGTATGGAATATGCCCGGGGTTGCCAAGCATGTTAGAAGCATGGTCCCGTTCAAAGGGTTCCCTCTGAAGATCTCCACTCTATTGTGAAGCCATGGCCATTCCGTGGATGGGCTATAAATCTCGTTGGAAAAATTTATCCTCCAGCAAAAGGTGGAGTTTGTTTCATCATCATAGCTACTGATTACTTCACCAAGTGTGTGCAAGCAAAGGCGATGAATAATACCAAGCATACGGATATCCAGAAGTTCATTGAAGAACATATCATTTACCGCTTTGTAATACCAGAAACCCTCACCTCAGATCAAGGATTGAATTTTGATGGAGAAATAACAAAAGCGTTGGGTAAAAAATATGGAATCAAATGTATGAAATCAACACCCCATTATGCACAAGCTAATGGGCAAGCTGAAGCCTCCAATAAAGTGATCTTAAAGATCATGGATAAGTTAGTACTCAAACATCCAGGGAAATGGGACGAGTACATATCAAGAGCATTATGGGCTTATCGTATGTCGCAACGTTCAAGTACAGGAGTTAGCCCTTTTAATCTCACCTATGGTCATGACGCCATGGTGCCGATGGAGATCTTGGCCAAATCGGCCAGGGTTGCTTTTCAAAACGATTTGACTTGGGAAGAGTACACCGAGTCAATGATGGTCGCTCTTGAGGATAAAGATTCAGAGCGCTTATCGGCTTTAGATCATTTGAACGCACAAAAAAGAAAAGCCGAAAGAAGTTACAACAAAAAGGTTCGTCATAAGAGTTTTGCCGAAGGTGAATTAGTTTGGAAAGCTATATTACCTATCGGTAAAAAGATTAAACCTTATGGAAAATGGACACCCAAATGGGAAGGGCCATTTTGCATGAGAAATGTACTTAAAGGTGGTGCTTATTGGTTAGAGAGCATGGATAAAAAATGGCACCCAAGGTTCATCAACGGGAGGTATTTGAAGAAGTATTATCTTACTGCATAGGAAGCAATACAAGTTCCCGAACCTGAATTTGATCAAGTAATTGAAGAAGAAGTTGACGAAAGCATGGCTGTAAGTTTAGCTTCGACCAACTGTTACACAAATGTGTGATAAAATATATAGATACACTTCGTGGACAAAGCCGCCCAAATTGCGTATAGCGGCTTATATAAAAAAAACAAAAAAAAATCACCATCAAGATAGCAAAGTCGGTCCTGATGGTGTACATAAAAAAGTGAAAGCTAATTGGCTTAGAAAATTAGGCCAATAGTAAAGAAAAAACCAAAACAAAATTACTAGGCCCATGTTTGTTATTAGGCCAAAAAGGTTTTCATGGTAGGCCTAAAGATCATGATTTCATATATTTTTATAAGAAAATATATATATATATATAATTTATTGGCCAAGAAATTGATTATGAGGCCAAAATCCAATTCACTCACAGAAGGGAATCTATTTGACTTTTGGCAATAAGGTTTTTTGACCTAGAATTTGCGATTACATGGGCAAGGGTTCGGTGGTGATAGGCCAATAAAGCATTCGGCCGAAAAATTGGATTGCAAAAAGTAATGGAAAATTATTCCCTGACTTTCAAACATTATTCTTAAGTAAAATCCCTTTTGGCTTAAGGAGATAAATCTGATGGCCAATACAAATTTAAATTGGGATTTGCGAAATTACCTGATCCTGTAACAGGATGTTGTTGTGCAAGGTGTGAGTTCATCGTCCTTGGACGACGTTGTTGGTTCCTTTGATTATTGGAGGGTGGAAGATTTGATGAAGAGCGAACCATAGTGAGTCAACAAAGACTGGAAGCCAAAATTCATAGAAGGAGCAGCGGCTAGAAGGCTAAATTGGTGCAATATTACTTGTCGGTTTGGAGAGTTTTTGTGTAATTAAAATTCAAGTTTTAATCCCTTTAAATAAGTGATCAAGCTTGGAGGGGGTAATGTTTATACCCTAATTTACACTTAGGGTAAATTATGAATTGTGGTCTAATTGATTAATTTTGGATGGTCAAGATTAAATCTTAAATTCCAAAATTGATGAAATTATAACCACCCTAAACCTAATTGGATTAGGAAAATCCTTGAGCAAAGCCCAAATCACCTAGGAAATTGCTTGGAAATTGCCTTGTAATTTAATTATGGGAGGTAATTAAATATTACACCATTAGGACCAATTTTTTGGTCCAGATGATCTGAATGATAAATTGAAGACAACACCATCAAGATCAATTTATTAGTCCCGATGATTTTAGTAATTTTTAATTGACAACACCATCAGGACCAATTTTTTGGTCCAGATGATCTGAATGATAAGTTGAAGGCAACACCATCAGGATCAAGCTATTTATCCAGATAATGTGGCTTATGATAAAGGCAACTTATATCATCGGATGCTTATCATCAGGAGAAATTGATTGGTGTTGATGATATAACCAAAATACTGATTCTTTTAGGCCGAAGTCGATACTGGTTAATCTTCCAAATATGAAGGCTACGGGCTTGATTCCCAAAAGACAACATCATCGGCTTCAATTAATTAAATTAGCCATGATTTGAATTGTTAAACTTAGATCATCAGGACATTGAGAACGGTATCGATGGTGAAGAACAAATACTCCATCAGCTTGAAGAAGTCGGTGCCGTTGTTTTCAATTAAGGTTAATAATCAAGTCCAAGAGCATTCACGTATTCATCAGCACAATAATAGTCAAGTCGTGTCAAGGGGGAAAAAAGTCAAGCATTCATACCGAAGTTGACTAATTGATTGATCACGAATTACGTGATCTAAATTGATATTGATTGCTCACAAGATCAGGAGGATGATTGAGAGTTGACATTGTAGACAGGATCAATTTGCCATCGTGACCATTAAAGGTTGACATTGCGATTGATATCTTGAAGATTAATGTGGTGTTTCCTTAACTCGTGGATCTAGATTGGCAAAGAGACTATAAGAAGAAGAAGCTTCGCCAAAGCTCAAGAGAGACAACTCTACACACACAACTGCCCAGCGCAAAATCAATGAACATGCTTACTTGACTCTTGTTTCCCATTTTGTCACTCTTGTTTCTTGTTTTCTTTTTCATTCGATCTTTCGTTTGAATCTTGTTTCATTTTCTGTAATCACTACTTTGAATATCAATATCAATTACTCTTTCCTGTCATCAACTTTTAAGAACCTTATTGCTCCGATAGTCTGAAATCTGGGTTAAATGATTAAAACCATTTTGGTGACTTTTAACCAGACTCCACAAATCGTCTGATCTTTACTGCATTCAAATTTCACACTGACTTTGTCAATTTTATTTCAAATTGACTGGCACGCCTCTACTTCCCAAAGCTCCAAAGAGATTTTGGCGCAACAGTAATAATTTAATTTGGGGTTTTGCCATTTTGTGGGAGACCATATAAAAAAGATATAATCAAAATTCAAAAACTAAAAGTGAGATTTGCAATAAGGTTGATTAATAAGAATAATCCAAGGGATGTACGAGTGGTAGTTCTTTGGAGATATTTAATTGTCTAAAATTTTTGTCAAAGTGTGAGGAAATTGAAAACAATTCAATTAAAAGGGTAAATTTGAAAATCATAAATTTAAAGGAGCAAAGTGATAATTAAGGTTAAGGTTAATGTTTAATTAACCTTATTGCAGGGCAACCTTATTGTTGGCCAAAAAAAATGTTTAATTAAAATGGTACTGTCTTTTTGACAGGCGTTGTAGGGGTGCTAATACCTTCCCTACACGTAATCGAACCCTGTGTCCAAAATCTGGTAACAAAGTCCAATGGTTAATCAAACTTAGGAGGCCAATCACACCTAGATAAAAAAAGATTGGTGGTGACTCCTTTCCAATGCATCTAGCGCTCAAGTCTCGCGATTTGCACGTTATGACAGTGTACAAGCCTCGCAATCTTCACTTCTCTGATATTTGGTTTTCTCCATTTTGTGGCAGTTCTTTTGTTGTCTTCACAGCTCTTATATTTTGTTTGTAGTTGATGGTACATTCAAGTCTTATCCTCATTTTTCCTTTTCCTTTCATTAAATACTGTTCAACTAAGATTATGGTTGAACTTTTTTAAGGAGATTGTAACTTCTGTTGTTCTTTGCTTAAACTAATGATGATATAAGGTCATACAATTTCTTAAATAACGCTTTATTTTTATAGGAGGATTCCCTAATTACTGAAGCACATCCCTATGTCCCATTCAATATCAAATCCATCTGGAATGCAGCCTGTTCTCACAACCACCTATCTTTTAGCATTTCCAAGTATTCTTGAAGGTAATTGTGCCCAAAAATTATTTAAATACTTATTAGATCCTTTTTTTAATATCTGGTTATTGTCTTATGCACAAACCTTAAGACCATTATCATTGGTGATTCAAAGTTGATGATAATGTGCTTATTGTTAATCTGTCATTACAATTGCAAACTAAATTGCATTTCTTTCCATGATATGTCCTTTTACCTATTGGTTTATGAGTTCGTATCTGAATGCCGAAAGTAAATAAGCCATGATTTTAAACAAGATCTCAGATCGAAGAACTAATTTGGTATCTTTTCCTTATTGTGGTTGTTGATACTTATGTTCTTTCTTCAAGAGTAGTGCTTTTAAGTCCTAGCCTTTTTTTGGACCACCTAAATCCTATTTGAAGTTCACATGTTTTTGTTTTTCTTTATTTAAACTTCTTTTTGTAGGTCAGTGATTAGGGAAACTTGAGTTGTGCAAAGAATGGCACATGCCGCCTTAATACACTTTTAATCAATATGGATGGACCTCCATGGTATATATTTCTTGTCCCGATCTATTTTTCTTGTTTAACAATATCAAAAGATGTCAATTGTGGCCTTTTTGTGCTAGCCATATTCTTATCAAACTGAAAATTATGTCAATGTTAATTCTTAGAAGTCAATTAATTTTACGAATGGTTAATCTTTGGTTTTATCTGTAAGTCCTGTTTAATTTTGCGAATGGTGGTTAGCTTTTCTAACTCATCTATCTCTCTACATATGATTGTTCACGTTTTCTTAAATTGTTAATTATCTTTTGAAATGAGTCCTTTATTATGGTAGTTTGGTCCTTATTTCTTTTTTATCCTTTGGGCATAATCCATCTCTTACAGCTCCAGGTATTGCCGGAAAACATTACGCCATAAGACTCATTCATCAATTCAATATTTATCATGGCTTTCATTAGGATGCATATATTTATATGTCAAAAAAAAACTTATGTTTCTACAGAAGGATTTCATCATTTTCCAGGAGAACAAACTCTAAATTTATTAAAGTAAATTTAGAAAAACTCTTCTTGTGTTGTTATATTTATTTGCTGAAGTTGCCCTCATTAATTTTTTCTCCTCATCCCAACTTGATTATTGATAGTAAAAGCAATATTAAAATTTGATGAGTAGTTATTGTAACCAAAATGAGAGAACCTTTGAATACGAAATTTGTTTTGTGTTTTAGTTTATACAATTTGTTTCTCCCCAACTGTCAATTTTTAATAATTTTCCTTTTCTGCAAGAACATAACAGTGTGGCGAGAGCAATCATTCCTCAATGACTCTTTGATACATTATTGCCAAACATCTAATTTCTATTATCTAATCTCTCTATTTTCTAGCATAAATCCTAAATGACTTTTTGATGCATAATTCCCAACATCTAATTTCGATTATTTAATCTCTATGTTTTCTATCATAAATCAAAAAAAGCCCGCGGCATGACGCAGGCTCTAATCACTAGTATAGGAAGAGATAACCATGTTCCAATAAACAATAATAGCTTAAAAACTATAGATAATTATGAATAGAAACCTATAGTCATTGTAAAACCATTTTTTTAGTTTAATTCAACGGTCATACAACAAGCTACAATAAAGTAAACACTAGTCAAAAGTTGATACAGAGAATAACAAACAATATAAGAATATAACATGTATAGAGTATAACTACATTCTACACTGTATTAACTAATTGCATCATAAGCTCCAAAGGAGAAGCGTATACAGCAAACATGCAAACGAACATACACCTTATTATATGTTTATTATAGAAAAGAAATGTCACACTATAACCAAAACCAATATGTAATTTGAAAAAGATAAGCATCCATAATGAAAATAAAATTATGTTAAATAATATCAGGAAGATATAGATAATTCAGAACGAGGAGAAAATTCACGTACCGAGATTCTACGAGGTTGCTAAGAATATGTCGTGTTGTATCACTGTTTACATCCATATGGATTCCTTTGTAAATTTCCTCTAGTTCATTTTGCCTCTTAAATATCAGCTCCTTCATTTTATTAGCTTTCACTATGTTCAATCTGTCAACTTGAACCTCAACCTAAACTCAACAAAAATATACATATCATAACATTCACAATATACTTGGAACATCAATAATTCAAAAAAAAAGGAAAAAGAAAAAAGAAGACGACAAATAAAAGTCTCATCTGTTCAATAACATACAATCTAAGGCATTCTTCTCGGGAGACCTCATCAACCGAGGATGAAATCAAGGAAGTAACATGCTCAAATCTCTTTCACTCATCAACAGAATTTTGAAGGAGATTCCATAGTTTGTTTATGATCGACCATGAACTTGAAAATATAGAACAAAAATAATAACCAATCCTCATTTCAACTATACAGAGAGGAAAAGAGAAGCCAATATTGAAGCGAATTTATGCCACTCAAATTATTGACCTAAGAGAAACAACCTCAATGCTCTTTTCTCTTCATAATACTCAGAAACAAATAAGTAAATAGAATATAATATTCAT